TTTGGAATTATGTCTTTTACACGGTCTGGGATGTGTTTCGTAGAGAACTGTTTAAACTCTATGTGTAGAGACTCACCAAAAGGCAGGATTTCACCATGCTCAAGCTGGTCTCTTTGGAAAATTTGGTGACCAGAATCCAAATTTTCTGGATTCTGTTCGTCATGAGAGTTTTGCTTTGCATCCCTGAGAATTTTATTAGAAGGTTCTTCCCCATCTCTTTTTTCTTTTCCCATCTCTTTTGCATTTCTTTTCTTGGTTTCCAGGAAATGAAATGCCTCTCCTGAATTCATGGGAAGCACAGAGGTGGCAGATCTACGGTGTAAAGAAGAATCCAGGCTGCAAATGCGGGGCTTGGAACGATCTTCAGGGGAAAAGTCAGTGTTCCAAGATTTAACAAAAATGTAAAAACACTTCCCTTGTGGATTAGTCTCAAAGAAAGCCTTAAAATCTGAAGACTGACTAAGTGTTCTCAAAGACTCTTCTAAATCCAGCCCCAAAGTCCCATGATGCTCATTGCTGTTAGCCATTTCCACCTGAATCACTCCTCCTCCTGAGTTTAATAAAGCACAAGCAGCCTGCGAAACTTTCTCCTTCTCCTGATCTCTCTGAGCTTTCTGCAGCTTCTTTCTGTTCTTTTCCCCAAGAGTTACTTCTCCTACATTGATGACCAAGTCTGGGAAAGATAATTCCACCACCAGGGATGGATTATGTTTCTTCATGTTCGTTCTGCAAGAGAAACCATTAAAACATATCTCATGTTGATGCAGAAGTAAATTACATAGTACATAAAAATGCATTAATTAATTATCTGAAAATATTTATTTATTTTTAAAAATTATATTTTATTGATTTTTACAGAGAAGAAGGGAGAGGGATAGAGAGTTAGAAACATCAATGAGAGGGAAACATCGATCAGCTGCCTCCTGCACACCCCCTACTGGGGATGTGCCTGCAACCAAGGTACATGCCCTTGACCGGAATCAAACCTGGGACCCTGAGTCTACAGGTGACGCTCTAATCCACTGAGCCAAACCAATTAGGGCTCTGAAAATATTTATTGAGTAAATGATTCTGTCAGTAATTCTGAGGCTCGCTAAAGTTTGGTGACCATCCTGGTCAGTGCTGGGCTAGAGCCCCTTAGAACAGTGCTTGTCACACATTAAAATGCAG